ATTTTACAGTTAAAATATATGTTTATCAAATAAAGTTTAATGTTACAACTAATCATGGATCCCTTTGAAAACAATCCTTTATGAGTTTTTACTTTAGCCTATTTTTATACTGAAAAGAGTAACACAGTGCTATCAATCTGATTTATTCTTTTTACATCTATAAAAATCAACTTCTGACTTAATTAAAATTTTACTAAACACAGCTAGAGAAATTTTATTATCACTAGCTAAAAATAACAAAAATGTATAAGCAGCAAAATTCTAGAAAGAAGCCAAAAGTAGCAGAACAATATCTAAAGGATGAGTGTTGTGGAAGGCTAGCTCAAAGTTAAAAGTAGCAGAACAGGGACTAAAAATTAAAAGAAGCATAAAGAGAAAGGTGTGCTGAGGTAGATTTCAAAGAGGACAATGTTTTTGAAGTGCCTGAATATTTTAGAAAAACCGTAAAAGTTACAAAAAACTAAAGTCAGAGCTCCCACCTTGTGTATGAGCAGTTTCACGTCTGTTCGTGAAATATGGAGACTCCTATGTCCAGAAATCTGTGTAAACCTTCAGAGYAGTTAGCAAAGATGAATGTCAGGAAGTCGACGGCCTCGCTGGAGCGACTCTTCGGAGTAAAAAATGTTACCTGAAGGATTTACGTCCCTTTTTTTGAGAGAAGGAAGAGCGATCCGCCTGGCCGGTACGACTCGATGCCTCTTGAAGGTTTCATCCTGAAAGAGTTTGTGTAAACAGTGGAGCTCTTCCACCGGATGTGTCGCTCAGCTGATAGATGTGCGCTTGACGAATTGTGAAAGCAGAAGGGTGTTTACAATCGGTGGAGGGAGAAGAACGTGAGGTAAAGAGGTCAGTAGTCATGGTGATGCAGACCAGAAACCAAAAGAGCCACAGGAAGAAAAAAAAATACTAAACTTTTCGTTTTGTTGAGTTTCTCCTCTTTTGTACTTCTTTGTTGCTAATTGTACATTATTAATTCTCARTATGTGTGCAGTTGAGTAAATAATCTAAATCATTTGATTTGACACTTTATTTCCATCAGGACCTTGCAGACTACTTGAAAGGTTTTGTCCTCCTTGATTGTGCCAATAATTTGCTCTAAAACAGGGATTCATAGTAACGAAGTACATTTACTTTGTTACAGTACTGAAG